ATCGCCGCGCAGCAAGTTTTGCAAAGAAGTACTTGAAGTTCAATTGCGTCCCAAAATGATGTCGCTGATCACTCAGTTGTCGCAGCGTGTCTTGTGTCATGTCCATGATGCACACCCGTTTTGACTTTGGCTTGCATTTCCTTCTTAGTGCATGTTCTTGTTCACGTAAAATGCGACCTCTCACCAATGTATTGAAACGCTTTGAATTTATACTTTGCATGATTATATTTGGTCAACGCGAAACATAATTTTTTCAAAAAATTTTTTGAGATCATTTTTAACATCGCCCGGGCGATGCCTAGAAAAATAAAAAAAGGCAGTGCAGCCAGACGGCTACTTTGTAGCCACGTGTTCATTGTTTTTTTGTGTACAGAGTGACTTTTGCCATTTCACTGTTTCATTTCAAGGGTAACATGGTGCGTGGTCCTTGACGCAGTGCGTGTTCTCTGCCCAACTATACGCCATGAATGTCACTAGCCACGAGTCTCAGAGGCACTAAAAAAACGTCCTGTAATTGTGTTCATTGGAAAACAAAACAAATCACTAATAAATTTATGAAAACAGCTCCTTTTTGAATCGATCTAAAAGTACTCTTTTAATTCGCGCACCAAAAACCAATAATTTCCGTTTTTACGCTATTAACTCGTGCACTTGAAAAAATAATTATTTTTACTATCGCGAATTAATCGAGTTTTTATGGTACCATGTCAACATTTTCTTTCCTGTCAACCACATTTGCTACCATGTCAACCACATTTGCTACCATGTCAACCACATTTCCTACCATGTCAATCACATTTGCTACCATGTCAACCACATTTGCTACCATGTCAATCACATTTGCTACCATGTCAACCACATTTCCTACCATGTCAATCACATTTGCTATCATGTCAACCACATTTGTTACCATGTCAACCACATTTGTTACCATGTCAACCACATTTCCTACCATGTCAACCACATTTCCTACCATGTCAACCACATGTCCTACCATGTCAACCACATTTCCTGTCATATCAACTTGCCCTCAAGATGTACATGCATAATCAATGTCTGGTCTGGTTTCACATATTTTTCCAACAGGAGTATTACAGGTGGCTACTGGTGTTCTCTCAACACTGCAAATAAATGAACAGGCAGCACTGGATGCACTCAGCCCCGATATGTTGGCGACTGACATTGCTTATTATCTAGTCAGGAAAGGGGTGAGATCATTTTTGAAACTACTTGAATGTTGAAGCACTAACGTTGTCGTGCAGCATATCATCGAATTTCTGTTGTTTTTCACATGTGTTGTGTATGTTGCATGTTGTGTCACTTTAATTAGAATGAGGAAAGATTGGAACCAGTTTGCCCGCGAAGCTGATACAATGTGTCGCTGATGCAGCTTTATGCTTATTTTCTGGCACACCAATGACGCATTTTTATTTAAAAATAAAAAATAAAAAAAAAATATTCCCACATTTCACATTTTTTGAATTCAAAATCTTTATTTAGTTATGGTATGGATATATGGATATTATACAGATCAACTCGGTTGTTGTTTAAAACCGTAATTTGTTGACAATTTCGCAATTCACACGATAAAGAGATTATAATAATTATTAATAAATACTTAAATCGAAAAAATTGCAATAAATCGAACCTCATATAAAAAAAATTATAAATTGATATACAGTTGTGATCTTAAAAGACGTCTTCCTGTAGTTATGGAATTTGGTAAAATGAAATTCATATTTTATAAGCAAAATAAGTGTGAAAAATCAGGTGCCTCAGCAGTTTAGTTTGTTTTGTGACTGTATGGAGCTTCTGAAGACACAATCTTTCAAGACCTCTCTCCCCAGCAGTAAGCAAGCGAATCAAACTTGATTTTCAGATTCCCTTGTGGCTCAAAATACATTTAAAATCAGTCGTATTTAGGACACACTGATTCACACATCTACAATACAACACTGTGTCTGTGTCAGTTATAACTAAGTAATGTTCAATGATTTTCAGAATGTGAAAAACTATTGAATGTCGCAAATGGATTTTTAATTTAATCAAATATCTTGAATAGCGCCCTCACGTGTTACAATCTCAACACAGATGAATCAAATGTTTCTTCACATAGAGGTTCAATTCTTACATCACATACATCACTGAGTAATGTTCAATGATTTTCAGAATGTAAAAAACTAGTGAGTGTCGCAAATGGATTTTAATAATAATTCAATAAAATATCTTTAATAGCTCTCCCATGTGTTACAATCTTAACACAGATGAATCAAATGTTTTTTTCACATAGCGGTTCAATTCTTAATTTAACCCATTGCCTGCTGAGGCTGTTAAAATATATCATTTATATTGGCTATCTGTGGGGCTCCCCCACAGTTCGAGATGTGTTAAACCATTGTTTTTAGACAAGTCTCCATTTTTGTTAAAAAATTCAACCATGATGTCTGCACATTAAGATGGTATTCTTACTTTTTTTGGACAATTTTTATTACAATCAAAAACAAAAAAATAATAATAAATATTCTTCAATATATTTGCAAATAAGATTTTTATTTGGTTTTGAAAATTACGCAGGAAATGATAACAAAAAAATTTGAAGAAAATATTATTAGTACTTTCTGAAATGTAATTAATTTGTTGTTGTGTTCGTCTATTTTTTTTTTATTTTGGGACAACATTAAAGTAGGACTACTTACCGGGAACAACTTTTTCAACTTTCAAGTCCCTATAGACTTTTTGGCATTAGTGGAATGCATTATTTGAGGTTATCGCTGGATTGTCATATGCTTGTATTATATATAAACCTGACGTGCATTATCACTCTGTTTATTGTGAAATATTAGAGTGATATTTCACACCAACATACATGATGGCGCTCATTTGGTAGAAATAATTATCATAGAGACTCTTTCTGAAACACATTTATTGTCCAATATTTATTATTGTCCTCCAATTCCATCAACACTAATTTTATGATATGATAATTTTGAAATGATAAAAAAATTTTTTTTTCGATTTAAATTATCATATCACTCTTATAGATTCCATTCCGTGAAGCTCATGGTATGTCTGGATCTGCAGTACATCTGGCCGAAACCAATAACTGCTCAGTCAAGGACTTGACACTAGAACATATGAAAACTATCAGGTATGAATTTAACATTGTTCGTATTTGGATATCTCATTATCTATTAATCTGTTGTTGTTTTTAAAACCCGCATTCACATTCAAGGTTCATGCACTGTCAACTGGCTTCTTGAAAATTGCTACGAATGTAAAATTTTTGCTGAAAAGACTTTTTGGGTATTTTGCATTGAGTTTTAGTTTCACTGATTTTTGACAAGTTGAATGTAAAATATAGGAAAAAAGGTATATTCGCTGGATTTTATTTTCACTGAATCAATTCTTTAGTGAAAAAAATAATTCCAAGCAAAAATAAAGTATTTTACAGTAAATGGCTTGTGGTACCTTTTTATATCAACCTCTTCTTCCAGAATATATTGATGAAATTTCTCACGCCAAACATGATTGCAAGAGCCTCTGTCTTGATGTGTGCAAAGTGCATCTGTCTTGGTGTCATTGTGCTGGAAACATGTGCTATTGATTTTACAAGTGCCATTCCTAATCGTTGTTGCACCTTTTTCCTTCCTTAGTCCTGTTTTCGAGGCAGACATTGCCAACGTGTGGAACTACGAAAACAGCGTTGAACAGTACAGTTCGGCTGGAGGCACGAGTAAACAGAGCGTTATACAACAGGTTGAGCAACTCGAAGAATGGTTATCGTCTGTTTAATTCAAATTTAACAAATAAGTGATTATTGTAGAAATATTCATAATCATTTGTCCATTTTAGAATAGTATAACGTTGCTAGGTTGAATTCAAACATTCAAAAAGTAAACCTGAAAGAAGAAATAATATAGCCACTGTGGTGTCATAGTTGTCTTGTTTTTGGTGTCTGAGATTCAATTTCAAATGGCTCCGAGAAAAGTACAAAATACAGACCATGAACCTTGATGCCATTTCAACAAACTGGCACCCAATCAAATTAAGATCTTGACTGATCCTAGGCTGTATCAATTTCAACAATTGGAAAATGACAGAGGCTTAGATAAATAGTACTAAAATCATGCAAATAAATTAATTATATCAAGGACTTTCAGAAAATAAATAATTTGTTTCTGGTCAGCACATGTTCCTTCAAAAGAAGCCACTCGTAAAAAAATTTTTCTGGTTTTATGCTGAAATAAGAATGAAAACAAAATTGACAAAAAAAAAAAAAAAAGACTGTCAGCACATCATTATTTGAAACACCTCAGGACCAGAAAGAAATCATATTTTTGGCGGGTAATAAAACTGAAACGTGTTAAACTGGAAAACCAGTGCAATAAATGTATTCCCATAATAAAACTAAAAAAAAAATGATGGAACTTGCTCAGTGTTTGTTGTGTTTATATTTAACATTCACAAAATCATGGCCAAAAGGAAACTTATTTTTTCAATGCATCTTAAAATTATAGGTACATGTATATACAGAGGTGCATGAAAAATAGACAGCCCTCAGAGGGGATGCCAACATGTTCTAGGTTTCAATATTCATATCAACACTCAGAACCACATTGTAAGACTCATAAACATGTATAGCGTTATGCAAGTATTGGAATCACATAACTAAACATGTGTGTCAATTTTAAAGGAAATGACTACCTCCCCTCCCCATAGTTATATTATGAACATCCATGTGAACAAGCATACATTTACTGTGACCTTTTAACTTTCAACTGGGAAAATCGAAATGGCCTTGCAGGTCGTGTGTGTGTGTGTGTGTGTGAAGTTTAAGGGTGCATTGTAGTGTGAACATACATGGACAAGCACATAATGAAACCTTGACCTTATTGCATTGGGATCACATCATGAGGAATATGTGTGACAAGTTTGAAGGCAAAAGCATTTTACTCCTAGTCGCAAAAATTTATAAATTTTATGTACTGGTATACTATGACCTTGATCTTTGACACAAAATTGACACAAGGTCATGCGAGTCATGCAGGAAACTTGTGTGCAAATTTTTCCATGTCTCATAGGCAGTTTCTTTCAGCCCTTGAGGATTCTTATAACTTGTGTTCCGAGTCATCTGAGAACTGTGATCTGCTACCATTTAATTGGTTGCCTCAGAGTAAAGTGTACTTACTTTTCGATACAACAATAATAACTTAGAGGGCGCCACTAAAAAAACCCACAAACTTAAGGTATTAAAAATGCACAGAAGGCTCCCTAGGTTAGCTACATTTCACAACTTCATCAAAATTGATCACAAAGAAATACGAACATCATTAAGCCTGGAAGTACCCCAAAATACGTTTGTGTTTTCGTGGCACTATGTGACAATCGGATCTTTGTTCTCTTTTCACATTTGATTTCAAGCGCAACTCCTAGGATCACCTAATTACAAAAAAAAAATAAGGTCTTTTACTCATTCTTTGTCACTTTCAGCTAAAAATACACGCCTTCATCATAAATTTAAGAAATAATACAAGAGACACTGCACACATGCAGTTCAATTTCATGAAATAACGATTTATTTCAAAAATAACATCAATTAAAACATTTTTTTTCCTTATTTAAGAACTGTGGAGAAGAATTTTCTGTCCAGTAAGAAAGTAGATCTCATGTGAACCAACATCAAATCTGAGACCATGAGAGAAGCATTGTGATTGGAGGAGAATACATTCAGATGAAGGGGGAAAAACTCTTGCATGGTGAACATGTTAAGCATTATATGACCAAGCCGACTGGTGCCCAAGTAATTAGCATAATTTTCACTGCCAGAAGGGTTCATGACTTAGCAATTTTGCAAAGAATGAAGTTCACAAAAGTCAAGTCCATGTATGTTTTTTTTTTTACGTACGTACATAAAAGAATGGATGGAATATAATCGGGATCTCTTGTGAGATTTTACAAAAGCAAACTAAAGACATTTATTAAATACATGTAAGCAATTCATTTCAAGAGAGAGGGTCGTCACCTGCACACGCACAGGAATTGAGTCCCAAGCGAAGATAACACACGCTAAAAATGCAAAAGATCGTGAGTAGACGCTTGTTTGTAAACACTGACGCATGCGCAGGTGACGACCCTCTTGCTGTAACCCATACACAACCATGTTAAGTGTACAATAGAACCCAATGCATGACTGCTTTGACTACCATTACGCAAGATTTTCTTTCACCTTATAATAACTCAAACATTTATGCCAAACTTGGCAGCCAATCAACTGATGTGCATCTGCCCAGGTAAGAAAATTTGCATTGAACCAATTGAAAACCTTTTTTTTTTGGCGTCTCTACATATGGTACGACAATGAAAAGAATTTACAAATTGTACAGAGTGAAGTTGGTAACATAAACCGATAAGTACTTGTCAAGTTGTGAAAAATAAAATGCTGAACTGGAAATCTCTAGACTTGTCCAAGCCATCAAAGATGGACAAGTTAATTTTGCAGCATATAAAAACACAACATGTCTGAGAAAATATGCAATATACAGTTACCGGTACTTACAGTAAAATAAATAAATGAAAACATTGAAACTCTGGCTGGTTTTAGCATCCAGCCATTAAGGGATGAAGTACATACATACATACATATACCCATATGTTAATGACATGTTAATAATAATTAGCATAAATGGTCCACATACTGTAAAATACTTGTAATTTATTTTCGTTATTTTCGCTTAAGGTCTGATTCAGTGAAAATAAAATCCAGCGAATATACCTTTTTTCCTATATTACACATTGAACTCGTCAAAAATCAGTGAAAATAAAGTATTTTACAGTACTCAAAATTCAACCAAAGCATACAGTTAGATGCAGTTTCCATAGAGCAAATACAGTAGCAGAAACAAACAGAAATTTGGTAATATAAAGTTTGGAATGGTATATATTTGACAATCAGCACTACGGGATAAATAACCCACAATTCAGTATGTACATACACTTGGAATTAAATTAAATTTGATATATGTCCATATAAAAAAAAAATTCCAAAATAGTGCAAGGTATTTTTATTTTTCAGAAGATGCTTTGCATTATGTAATTATATGGAGTATTCTGGTTTGAATTAAGTGACATCGCATTGAAAGACTAGGTGATAAAAATATGCAAAAAATAAAGTCAGAGTTTCCCTTATATGTGGAATATGGCTGTCAAATATTGACAATTTGTTCACAACATAGTTTCTACAAAACAAACAACTGAGAATTTCTGTGAAATGTACAGTATTGGCATATTGCCAGTCAGTCAGTTGTTTGTTTCTTTATTTGATTCTTATTTCATCTGAGCACAGTTACTAGTAGTATCCGTGATCTGAGGTTGATTTCAAGCTGATCGCGATAGGATAAACAACTGGAAAATAATTATAGCACCTTGAACAGTTACAATTTAGTGTATTTCTATTGTACACACACAGCAAACATAAATTCTTTGTTTAACATGCAAACCCCCCCCCCCCCCATTTCGGCCTTTAAACCAAATTTAGAATTACAAGTGTGAAAACATAGTTAACTCTGGGGTGATCTTGCTCTTTGTTATATAATATTATTTCCTTTATCAAAGTTTGTTTCAATATGTTGTCATAATTAATTTTGAATACAAACAAGTTGAAGGATTGAAACAGCAGTGGGAAAATAGTCTACCGAATGTCCTTGATTGATGTAAATATCTTACAAAAACATTGAAGCATAATTTGTTTATTACTTTAAGGGACATAATTTCCAGTTTTAATCAAAGTAATTCAGATATTTTACTATAAAAAAAAAAGGGCTGCATTTAGACGTGAATGGAATCTTAAAACATGCAAGATAACAGAAAATCTTAGCTGGATTTTGTCCAAGTATTTTGTACAGGTTTCTGTCAAAAATTAATGATTTACTGAGACAAATATGAACTGCCTTATTATATTCATTTTGTGACTACTGTATTATTTGAAAAGTAAAAAAAAATGCCCCTATGAATAACTATCATGTTGCAAGCTCTGCTTTGTAAGCAAATCCACTTCAGTCTTAAAGTACATGTATGTACCATGTATCTAAAAATAGTTAGTTGGTGTCCAGTGGAGGAGAGAAGTCAACAATTCTGTTGCCTCCTGAGAACCTACATCTTTGTAATCTTTGACTTTGAAGTGTGTTGTTAAATTTGTATTATAAGCTTTATAATTGTGTTATAGCTGAAACAAATTCCTGTGAATTTTGCTTTTCAAAATTGATATATTTCGACAAAGAAATGTTTTGTTTTGTCGAAATGACCTGCATGTCAAATACAGAATACATATTTTTGAGTACAATTTTTCTTTCAAAATGTGCATGCAACGTTTTGCCTGTTATGTATTTTTGCATTAATAACTTTGGACTAAACAGAAAATTTTCTATAGGCTCCAGATTGTGATCAAAAGCTGGGCACCCAAAGGAGTGCAACTGTGCAACAACTCTCTCCATGAGTTGACATTAAAACCCAGTCTAGTATTCCCATGGGATTTGGAAGATACATTGCCAATGATAATATTACAAGATAAATGGTTTACTTCATGGAACACATACAGCAATGCATATTCCCTCTGGGACCAGTAATCAGTGAATTAGATGACTAAGTCTGATACAGTTTGGAATAGAATTAGTAAAGTTATAACAATTAACAATTATAAATAACAACGACGATATCAACAACAGCGACAGACAATTTTCCCTTAATATACCAGGGCAAAGTAAAAACATTCATTAAAAGAACTTGGCTCCTCAACCCTAAACAAAGAATGTATGTTAGCTCTGCTAGTCAGATAGCAGTTAAAAAGAATTCTTAATGGGTACGCAATGTTTTTGTTTTTTTAACACTTCCATAGTGCATGGTTGTCAAGTACAAAAAATAAGATGACATCATTTTTTTTTTCAATGTTATGTTTGTTTGCTGGTTTTAAATATTACTGCAAAGTCCAAAATCTCCACTGAGAATAGTTTTGAGCTGTTCCTCTGATGGAAATTAAAAATAGTTCATTTTTCTACATATTTCTAAAAAAAAAAAAAAAAGTAAATTATCCTGGACGTGATTCGCAGTCTGTATCCCACCTCATTTTGGATGGCTATTCAGTATTCCTGTTTGTGTATGCTGTCTTGTACGCTATTTAAATGAAACATAAGTGGGCTACATCATGAAAACAATAAATAAAAAAAAAAAAAGTTCATACATACAGGGGTGGAATTTTGTTAAACACTTACACAAATACATTGAGTTCATCAAATACAAAGTTCCCACCAAGGTGCATTACAAATTGAATACGGTCTTCAAATTTTTGGCAAGGCATCAAAGTGAATGTGTTGTGACCCCCCCCCCCCCAATCACCAACCAGAATTGATAATAACATAATACATGACATGAACTA